TTGCGGTGTGATCGCGCCCGTTTGATGCGCCCCCGATCTGTCCCTCTTGCGGAGCAAAATCTTCCGTGTGACCAGGGCCCTAGTTGCCCTTTTCTGCACTTTTTCCAATGCATCACTTTGCACTTGGTCACATTGAACCCCACTTGCCACATTGACGCCCACTCGCCCATCCTTGACAGATCCATTTGAAATGCCTCACAATCCTCCCTGGTTCTCACCACCCTGAACAACTTTGTGTCATCTGCAGATTTAGCCACTTTACTGCTTACTCCCAACTGCAAATCATTAATTAACAAGTTAAAAAGCATTGGACCCAGTAGTAATCCCTGTGGTACCCCACTGCTTACCACCCTCCACTGAGAAAATTGCCCATTTATACTCACTTTATGTTTCCTATTAATTAGCCAGTTTTTGATCCACAAAAGGACTTGTCCTTTTATCCCGTGACGATCAAGCTTACTTAGGAGCCTTTGATGAGGAATTTTATCAAAAGCTTTCTGGAAGTCAAGGTAAACTACATCTATTGGGTCCCCCTTGTCCACATGATTGTTCACTCCCTCAAAGAACACATTGTTGGCAAAACAAAGTCTGGGAACACTTTATCTATGGTAAAATTGTCTCTTACACAAAATGTTTTCAAGCAATTTGGTTCCCAGCAGTGACTTATCTCACAGAAGAAGGAGTGATTCCAAATAACTCTTATTACAAAGATCTGTTATATTTTTAATAAGGGCTCTTAACGATTGAAATGTTGGTTAATACGCAGTGTTAATATGTGTTATGAATGTACTGTTGAATATGTTGTTCAAAATAAATAAACACTTATTGGGGGGGGGGGAAGAACACTAACAGGTTAGTGAGACAAGATCTTCCCTTACAGAACCCATGCTGAGTCTGCCTCAATAGTTTTTGTTCTTTTGCTGTTCTTATACTGTTATCATTTTCCTCCTCCCTGCTGTACGGGAGATGGACTTGGAGGTCTGTGTGTTACGGTAGGTAGGGAAGGCATGTAGGATAATGCCCATTGCTGTACAGTGGCAGATGGGACCTTTTCTGCATAATCTTCTCCGGAGCTGTTAAAGAAACAGGCATAGATCTCTGGGCCAGGAACCTCTATGCACAGAGTTCTTGGATTTTTTTTATCCAGAAACTTCAAAAGAAGTTATGACGTTGTGCTCCATATACATGCTGCACAAGTTGTCTTTGCCATCAGGTTCTTTATTTAGTGCAGAGTAATGATTTTTGGTATATCCTAAGATAGACTGCCTATAGGTAAATGGATGCATTGAACTTAAAGGTAACAGTAATTCCACTGTAATTTTTACTAGCTAGCAGTGACAGCACATCAGGCATAACTGTTCTACAGTATTTTGTAGACATCATGCATTTAGGATGGATCTGAAGGAGGTCTCTACAGAGCTTTACACAGCATATGTCTTGTGCAGAAGGATACTGAACGGCTCACCAGCATTCTTGGTCGAACTGAGGCATGCATTCAGCACTCTGAGACCATTGAGATGATCTAAGAGGGCAATCTTAAGCAGGTGTATTTGGAAGAAAGTCCCACTTGATATAATGGGATTTACTCCCAGTAAAGTGTTCTTAGCACTTCAGCCTAAGTCAAGAAAGGCCTTCAAGCTGACAATAACTAGCTGGTTTGAGCTAAGACATGAACCGATTTTTAAAAGCAAAAAATAACCCCAAGTGTTAATCCTCTTTTAATATTTGTTTATCATTATCATTGAATACAAATGTGCATTCTGGCCTGTCTTGCATGTAACTCCTATATTTGCATCATGGGCTTTAGTTGGGTATATATATCATAGAAAATTAAATGCAATATTTGGCTTTGGTAAATTTTGTTGTTGAAAAGAGCTCATTTGTTATAATAAGGTTTCTGTTCTAATTCATCCTTGGCTTGGCGATCCAGTCAGTCAAGCCTTTTTTATTTCAATAAATGTATAAAGTACTTCCCTAAGGCCTAATCCTGCTTGCATAAGAAACTTCACAGTGAACAAGATGTGCTGCCTTTGGCTTGGAATCTTGATAACTCATCAAAATGCACTTGAGAGGATGTAATTATCAAGCCCCTGTTTGTGAGTTCTTTGTGCCAAGTTCTGGGTATGGTTTTGATTTTTAAACAGTGCTAATCTATAGCCTATGGAAAATTGAACAGAGAATGGTTAGCAAATTTGGAGCATGAGCACATGGCATTTAAATTATAGCTCACCCCCCCACGCCGCCCTGACTTGCAATGTTAAGAGCTGAGAGAGCTCTTTTGAGGACTACTCTTTCCAGAACAGCTCTGAGAGAACTGTGACTGACCCAAGGTCACCCAGAGGGCTTCATGTGGAGGAGTGGGGAATCAAACACGGTTCTCCCAGATTAGAGTCCCAACCACTACACCAAACTGTCTCCCTGAGGTCTTATAGTCTTCCCTTCCTGCGTTCCATAAGTATCCGTAATTAGCTTAGAGCCATCTCCTGACAATGTCTGCCAAGGGTCAACAAAAGGTGTCTTTACTGGTAGTTCCCCACTTTTTGAACTTTTTTTCCTTCCCAACACTTGCCAAAACCTGAACAACATCCAGAAGTCATTAAAAAAATTTTTTTAATTGAGTAGGCATTTAGTGGCTGTGGATAATATAATTTTAGTGTTATGCGTACATAAAAACATTTCAAATCTTACTTGCTATGAGTCAAAGAGGAATGGTTACTCTATAATATCCACACCAGCTGTTTTTGTATAATGTCCTCTCTAAAAAATTCTTTATCTTCCACTGACTCTTGCTTTTGGAATACATTCTTACATTGCAGTGCTGGTGACCCATACAAAAATTAATTTGAGAGCAGCTCCCTGAATGTTCTTACAGTATTTTTTGCTATTTCTTTTAGTTACATCTTTTCCATTTGTTTCAGTGGCAAGTAATCATCTTTAGTCCCACTCCAGAGGAAGGAGGACTTCTTGATTGCCACTGAACATTCAATTTTTAGAGCAGTTGAGATGAGAAAGTGATTTGCCTCCTGTGTGGTTATTGTTGGCTGTTTCACTGCTTCTGTTTCCGTTGCCAGGTGGAATACTGTCCGTGTGTGGTAGCCAATGACTGCTGGAACCTGTTGATGGAATTCATGCAAAGCTTCATGGGAAGTCACGTTCCTGGAATCCCTTCTGTGTTCAGCAACAAGCATGACAGTATCTACAGCCCAGCTGACACAATGGTTCAGTACATGGAACTCTTTAACAAGATTCGCAAGCAGCAGCAGGTGCCTGTTGCAGGGATCCGATGAGGAGGGCTTCATAATGCCTGTTTTCAAGCTAGCAACTGTTTGCTTGATAGTCATATCGCATCCCAGTACTCCAGATTACAATTTTCTCTCTACATCAAAGGACAGTCCTGCTTCTTTGGAGGGATAAAATTAAGTGTATCTCATCCTACCACTTCACATATCAGTGATATTCGCTTACTTTGCCCTGCTGGCTCAGTAAACTTACCTACCCTGGGGTCTTCAAGCAACAGTCCCTCCAAAAACTGGAAACTAAGGACAACTTAACTTGCAGAAATGCAGAGGTTCAAATTGTGTGCAGGTGGAAGAGTGGGCTTTGATTGTATTTAATATCCTTGGTGGTGAACGTGAGGTTTCTGTCTGAATATGAAAGCCCTTTACTACTAGGTTTAATAAAAGAGCTATATTTTCAGATGATACTGTGAACTCAGTAGATGGTTTTTCTTGCAGTTTGTCGACATTTTATTCTTTGGATGGAAACTTAAAACAGACAGATTCAATGTTCTCAGAGTTTAAGTTCTTGCCCTCCCAATATCTTCATAGAATAAATATTAAACTGTTGGGATTTAGAATTATACCAGTTTAGAAGCGTAATTTCTGTGATCTTCTGAAGTCAATATTCTGCCTTCTACCCTGTAAATATATTTGAATAGTACAGAAAGAAGAATCTGATCATGCATAATATGCCCCAAACGGAAACTTCAGTTCAGTTAAGATATCAAAATGTTTTATTATGAGGCCTTAGAAGCACATAGGTATAACCATGCAAGATCTTCTGAAATAGTAAGCATTTTGTTGATTGAGGAATCTAGTGTTTTCATCCTTATTGTATTTTGTCTGTTTTTAGACTTATTTGTTGACTACATTATTGTGACCTGTTTTTATTTTGTGTTGCAGCTGTGTTAGTTCCCATGAATATCGTCCCTTAATAATTTCCTAAAATAAAGAACTATTAGGCTAGGATCTTATCTGCTTCATTTTGGAGCCTGGTATCTTCTTCCAAACTTTGGTAAACAATATGGGCTAACCATGCTACCTCGTAATAAGTACTTTCTTCATACTAACCCTCTAGCCTGCGAACTTGATCTTGTGCTGTTTTAAGCAGTGGCAACAGACTTCAACACCACATCCTCAGTAGTGCTATGAGGGGAGATCACATCATACTCTATACTGTGGTAGCAATAGTCCTAGGGTGCTGCTATTCTGGTATTACTGAAAACTGCTCCACAGTATAGAACTATTATGCAGTAGGATGTGCATTTGTTTCCAAAGGAATTGTAATAGGCTCATTTACTCCATTCATTTGAATAATCAAACCAAATGAGAAAGCAAAGAATGCCCAAATGCCAGTTTATTGTTCTGCACTGGAGCTTTCTCTGTTGCCACCTGCTTCCTCCTACCCTTGCCTGCAGGTTTTATATTGTGACTGGAGTGAATGCTGCTTGTTGCAGCTTGATGTAGGTAGGGTGCTGGTAGGTTGACCAGTTCTAAAGCACCTCTCTTCAGTGCACCCTGGGGAATATAGTCCTTAGGATGTCTGTGTGATATAAGCAGGCACCCTGAAGGCTATGCTGCCTACTCAGAGGTCGGAGAAGATTCTCCCATCCATCAGTTGGAAGGCTGGTACCACTGCAGTGGCCACCACTTACAGCATGGTAAGGCAGGGACACAGAAAAGAAAGAGAATGCTAAGAGGGAGCAAAAGCAGCGTTATTTCTGGTTGGAACAACAGCAGATTAATGCAATATGAAAGAAAAATAAAGCCAAACAATTAGCAGCTTTTGCTGTAAAGAGAGCTTGGATAGAAGGCATGATTTCTGGAAACCAGGGGCATTAGCCATCCATGGCAAGTAATATTGCATTTTAAGGCCCACATGGGAGCATCAGTGTACTGACAGTCTTGTTTTAACAATATGTAGTAGGGGAAGTGGGAAGATCTGAAAAAGGCATGCCACTTTAGCTACTGAAGGCTATAGGATACAATCAGTGGCCTAAACAGTGCCTATCCTATCCTATTGTTGCTAAAAAAAATCTTAATGGAAGAGGGGTGTCCCTGTAGTGACTGCATACAAATGACTGTTGCATATCGGAGAGGTGTGGAGGGTCCTAGAATATGGTTAACTATGGAGATGCTATCTCTCTTAATCCAGTACTGGCAACATCAAAACTCCCCCCCCCCCCAACAATTTAACTGAAGGAACAATACACAGTAGCAACTGCTTCTCATTCCTTCCCATATATGGATTCTGTTGTGAATTCAAAATGTAAACTCTAAAAATTCAGTAACTCTACTCTGAGACAAAAGTCATTTAGTTTACAGAATGAAGTGGAATATTTCCGGAGAGAGAGGGATGTGGTTGTCTTCCTATTTTGTCTGAACACCATGCAAACTGTACTTCTAATTCAATGGAATCTACAAGATGTTTTATGGATAGCTTTTTTTTTCTTAATGTGCATGCGGATGAGTTAAAAAGAAATTGGTTAGTATTCAAAATTTACAAATGGGCCAAGAAATGACTGTCACATGAATTAGGCCTACTCTTCTGCAAAAAAAGAATGCGTAATAACATTTGATATGTAGATACTTACTTTGAAGTTTGGATGCTAAAATATTTATGGGTTTTGATAACAAATTCTATTGTCACTGATTTCTCTGGTGCAAGAACCTGCCTGCTGATATAACATGATCTTGGGTCAGGGCAAAAGTATGATAAATCAGTAGAAGGATCCTTGAACTAGGACTGAACAGAAGCTGGCAGAACTGAATGGTAGGATCCAGCCCACAGTCCAGCACCTGGGAAACTTTTCAGCTAAACAAATCACAGGACAAAAATTACAATCAGTATTATGAATTGGCTCTGAAAAGAGAATGCTGCAAAACCTATTAATTAAATATGATTTTTATTGGTAGGTGGTCATTTCTTAAGCCTTGATGAGTATTATTTTCAACTCTGTCTACTGGCAATGAGCCCAGAAAGATCTGACAAGTTGATGCATAACATGTGTAGAAAATTGCATGCACTGTAAGTAATTTGAAAATACTAATAACCAAATTGAACTTATGTATGGAGTGTACTTCACTTGCCTTTAAGTTTTGACTTATACTTGCTGCTTCACTGGAACAAGGATTTCAGACTCTGATTCTTGGGTTCTTGAACTTTTGCCTTCAAAAGGATTGCATATGTGCCTCTGTCCTCAATGTGCTCATATTGGGACCTGACTTTCAGAAAGAGCTTGACTTTGTCTTGCCTGGCATGCTGTCTTTTTGTAAGTAAAAGCCATGGAATTCAGATGAAGGATTCAACACATCAGCTATCAGAAGTGTCATCAACAGAAAGCTTAATGGGAACTTAATGACATTCCTTCTTTAATTTTCTGAAGTCAGATTTGGGACCCCCTGTGGCTGAAGTCTGGGTATCAATTATGTTCCTACAACTTCCTTGGCATCAGATATATATACACACACACATACACACACACACACACACACAATTTACTTGAAAGGAAGACAACCCTGAATGTAAGATGAACCCCCTAAAAGTTATATACCAGGATTTTTTTTAAACTGGACATAACTGGCTCGTATGCAAAAGTATGATGGCCCCTTCTTTTATAGCAATTCGGGGGGGGGGATTAATACAATATATACATACACAATATATATACGAGAAAAGTGAAGAGCTGTATTCTTTGTATACTTTATGCAATTACACAACATGGATACATCCTACGTTTTGTATCCTGGTTCCGACAAGGGTGTTCGTCAGAGATGAAGTGTGTCTTTGTAAATGGGTTTGGGTTTTTTTGCTTACATGTAGTGGGAAAGGATAAGGCTGCAACTTGTGTGCCTCTTAGGAAAAACTGTGATTTTGTATACCTGTGCTCTGCATCTTAAGGGGTATGTATATATATAATACTTGGAACTCTACCAAAGTACAAAATGTCTCCTAAGAAACAGCCCTGAAGGAGTGCTTTTTAAAATCTCATTTGTCCCTCACTTTTGTTGAGTTTAAACATTAACTATGGAGTTACTATGTGGCTAGACTGTTTTTTGTAATCACTGCTCAAATTAGATGTCATTAAGAATGTTTCCACAAATTTCAGTACCAGTTTCATAGCCATGAAGGTGGTACATGGAAGAGTTTCATTTACTCCAAGTAATGAACCAGTTGGTGTAGTAGCATAGATAGAAGCTAAACTTGCCCAGAAAGATCTCCATATGGTTAGCTTTTGGCTTTTGTTCAAACCTGGTTAAAATTCAAAGAGATTCTGCCTTATTGTAGACGCTTGCTGGAGCTAAGCTCTATAGTATAGTCTAGGTAGCTAGAAGCTTAATGAGAGATGTCAGCTGTATAAATGTTAAAAATGTTCATTAGCTGACTCTCTTCATACCTTCATAGATCAGTAACTATACTATAGCCTACATTCAGTTAGCAAATATGTTTAAGGGTTTTCTTTTTTGGTTAATCATGAGTTCTAGAAAAGAGCAAGAGTCCAGTAGCACCTTGTTGTTGTTGTTCAGTTGCACAGTCGAGTCCAACTCTTCGCGACCCCATGGACCACATCATGCCAGGCCCTCCTCTCTTCCATCGTGCACCTTAAGGACTAACAAAATATTTGGCAGGGTATGAGTTTTCATGAGCCACTGCTCACTTCTTCAGATACCATGTCAAAAGGTCATCCAACCCAGCCCAGGCTAAATGCTTTTCGCCAAAAGGGCGGGAAATACAAATTACAAAATATTGGGGTGCACCTGCACACACCTCAACCTGGTAGGCTGCGACTAATTCTTTGTTCCATCCAGCGAGAAGCTAAATAATAAATTCCGGACTTTCCCGGGATTGACTAGGAAGTCCTCCCTGCGAGGTAGACTCACAGCAG